AATATACAAGGCCGACAATTAATTATACAAGGCTGCAAACAATAATACGTTTCCCGACAGCGAATTGCAAAGCAAACCTGTATGGAATTCTAGGCTAATGCATTCAAGCATAAGTATAAGGAAGCACGATAAAGATGTGATATCAGACAATAACACGAATCAAATGAGTAATCACATGAAATATAATTATGAGACTCAATATGACATGAGCATGACTGTATAGGATAACTATGAATCGAACATGCATGTATAGTATAATAAATTCTTTTAAAATATCTATTATTATAATAACTCAAAATAAACCATTTAATTCAAAACTAACCTCTAAAAATAATTAGTTTATTAATTCCAAAATAATCCTTTACAAAATACTTTCTTTAAATTATTTCTAATCTTTTAAAATCATAAATCCATTTAGTTAAAAGTCCTTTTACAAAATAGTTTCTTTTAAAATATTTTCTCATTATAATTAATTCTAAAACAATCTTTAAATTTTTATTTTTAATATTATTCTCCTAAAAATAATTTCTTTTAAAATATTTCTCACAATAATTATTCTACAAATATTTTTTAAAAATATTCTTTTCTTTTTCAAAACAACACCTCATAATTAATATTGTTCATCAAACAATCCCACGTTCTTTTTCAAAACAACACCTCATAATTAATATTGTTCATCAAACAATCCCACGCAGATATATCACAACATACAACATAATCATAATACAGCATAATTAATATTGTTCATCAAACAATCCCACGCAGATATATCACAACATACAACATAATCATAATACAATCTAAACATGCATATAACTAATTTGCAGATCTAAAATTGAATTGACAAGTCCAGAGAAGTAGGATCTTGCCTACGAGGCCAAGGGGCCTGATGACGAGCGGCGGTGGCGCCGCTGCGGATGCGGTACAACGGGTCTGAAGAGTTGGCGGCGGATCTGAGCGGCACGAGTTGCTACTGCAGAGGAGATGACGACGACGACTTGGATCTGGGCTGAGCAAGAGGAGAGAGGTGACGACGCTTCGACTGCAAGGGCGCGCGCTGTTCGTCGCTGTTGGGGCTGCCGGAAAGGTGGGTCTCGGCGGTCCGACGGGCGGAGGAGGCAGAGGAATAGTGAGTTTGGGTGAACTGTGATGCTGGGGCAGCGCGGCGAGCTCGGCGAACGGAGACTCGATGAGCGTCGTGAGGTGGGGCGAGCTCGCGGCCGGGCACGGCGAGCTCATGGGAGGCGGGCGCGGCTTTGGCTGGATGCTGTCGGATTTGGGGGATCGGTGGCATGGCTTCTGAGGCTTGGGAGGAAGCGGCCGGAGGGTGGACTCCGTGGGAGCTGGAGGTGGCGGACGGCTTGGTTGCGGATGGTGAAATTGGTGGCTGCAGGCCGGAGTCTCGACCGGACTCGGTGATGGGGCGCGGCTTCATGGAGAAAGGGAGGAGCCTCAGGCCTGGAGGTTGTTGTGGGCGACGCTGCTGGTGAGCGCGCTGGTCAGGCTGAGGCGGTCGCGTTGGGTGCGGTGTGAGAGACGGAAGGTTCGAGGAGGAAGGGGTGATAGGCGCGCAGCTGGTTTGATTGAAAAGGAGAGAGAGAGAGAGAGAGAGAGAGAGAGAGAGAGAGAGAGAGAGTGATTGAGTGTGAGATTGAGTGACAGTGAGAGAGAGTGAGAACTGAGGGAGATTTTAATGAGAGAGAGAGAGTACGTGATAGGGTGGTTGGGAGGATGTGAGTTGAGAGTTGGGAGAAACACGAGGTGGGGATTTGCGTGAATTGGGGAGGATTTTAGGGGGAGAGAGAGATACAGAGTGAAATACCGGTGAGAAGAAAAACATAGGGAAAAATACCCCCTTAAATAATTTAAAAATATCATAAAATTTATTCAAAATAAATATTAAAATTTATGGTCAAAATAATAATAACAATAACAATAATGAATAATTAACTATTTATTTAAAAATTTTACCAAAACAATAAAATTTATAATTAGCAAAACTATTAAAATAAGATAATACCGTATTTTTAAATCGTAGAAAATTCTAGAGAAATTGGGAAAATACAAATACTCTTTTAGAAAAAAATAATATTTAATATTTAAATACCAGAAAAATTTATTCAAATCAAAATCGAAAATTACGGTCCTTACACGACGATTGCTCGTACATCTTCGCAAACGCTTCCATAAGCCCCACCGTCGTCTTCTCGTTTAAAATATTATGGGCTACTGATTTGGCGAGCGACAACCGGATTTGCCCTAAAACCTTCCTATCCTGTATCTCCCAATCACCATCTGACTCCTCTTTCTTCTGTCCCTTTTCCTTGTCCATCAACGGGCGATACAAGTCCTTCTGGTACAGATAGTCCTCCATCTGTGATTTCCAGTAGGCGAAGTTTGAACCGTCAAACTTCTCAATCTTAGATTTGATTTCCTCTGTCATGGCTCTCTTTCTCACAAATTTGTTGAACGAAGCTCTGATACCAGTTGTTGGGGATTCGAAACAATCAAATCAAATTCATACCCTTCTTTATCTTGTATTTGAGAGTTGAGCAAGAAAGAAATTCACCACAAATCAAAGATAAAAACTTGTAGGAAAGTAAACAAAAAAGAACACACTAGATTTAACGAGATTCGACAACGTGCCTACAATCATCGGGAGCCACACCATACAATTCTTTGATTACGTGAAGAAGATTACAATGCTTGCAATTGGCCCCTCTCTCTCTCTAAGATTTCTAATCTCAAAGAGCCATCAAAACCCTCTTTTTCGTGCTCTTTTTCTCTCTTAAACCCTAAAGGGACGTGTTTCTATTTAGAACAAAACACAATCCCAAACAGATTAGGATTCTAAAACGAGTCTGTCACACCCTGGTGTGACAGACACCACACCCATGGCAGACAGGGCAGACTCTGCCACACCAGGGTATGACAGACACCATACTCATGGCAGACAAGGCAGACTCTGTCACACCACCCATGACAAACAGGGCAGATTCTGCCACACCAGGGTGTGGCAGACACCACACCCATGGGCTGTCTTGAATTTTCATGTGATTGTTGATTTTGATTCTAGGTTTGGGTCTCCACTCTCAAGACCAACAGTAGTTTCCACACTTGCATGCCATTTAATCCATCTGTAAAAATTTCAAACCTCCACTAAATGTGAAATCTATTTGAATTCTGAAATGTTATGTGGAATTTCAACATAGGTTTACTTAGATATTATCTTAAAGTCACTTTCGTTGTGTCCAAACTCCTACTTTTGTGATGGGCATTGAGAGTGACTATTTTACGGTGCAACACTGGAGAGTGAAAATGACTAGAATTATAAAAAAAAATTTGCTAACTTCTAAATACAATATTGAAAAATGATGTGAGCAGTAACTTGGTATGAAGTTATCATGTGCCTTGGTTTTAGGTGCCGATAAAAAAACTTATGCATCAGGTTGACTTAAATGCCGGCAAGCAGTGTATCCTCCTCTGTTCATTTCTCGCATTTTTGGTAGCTGGATCCTCTATTGCTAGTAGATGACCAACTTCTTTCGTTGGTTTATCGAAGTTGATCTCATTGTATTTATTCAGGTTTTTCTTTATCTGCAAGCTTACCATTTGCGACCGCGCTCTTCTAACTTAAAAGAAAATGTTAGAAGCTTCAATGGAGACATTTTTAAACACTTAATCTGTTGTATGTTTATTTCATTTAAGACATTGATAGTTTTATATCTTAACATCAGGCAATTGTGGCCTAAATATTTAGAAGGATTTGGAAGGTCAAATTGCTAATAGTTAGTACAAGCATTAAGTTAGAGTTTATGGTTCAATCTTGTTAGAGGTAGGAATTATTCCAGCTTACTTTAATCCACTGTCTTGGATGCCTATGTTGGGAGGAGTAGAGAGCATGAACGAGAAACACAAAGAATGTAAATTGTTTACTTTCATTTTTTTTTTTTTTGTTGCCTTAAAAGGAAGAAAACTCGAAGAAAGTAAAGGGTACTTAGATGCCAGAATCCTAGACTGATTCATTGTGAACAAAACCTATTTCCAAGAAAGAGAAATATGTATATCTTCATGCAGAATACCCATTAGAGATTCTGCAGTCTCTCAAGCCAAGAAAGAAAATCTGAAATAGCAAAGCCCTTTAATTGAATCCTACGCATGAGAGAGTCTTGCTAAGATGTTGATGGACTTCTTATACAAAACATGGTTCTTACAGCCAGCCAGAATATCTACAATATTAGATACCTGCCTACTCTCGTGTCACGTGGTGTACGTGCACTTCATGAAAATAAAAGAAAATCAGTAACTGATAGGTATAAGTAGGGCTTAAACTTGTACGTTTGCTCCAACCAACCAGACAGATCATTTGGGAAGACTTTTTTTTTCAATGGTAAGGATTTTTGTAGGTGCACAAGATAATTGCAGTGACAAATGAGTATTTACCGATGACACTCGAAAGAACTAGTGCTAGAAAAATATCCACCACGAGCCGTAAGGAATAAGAATGACAACGCATAACCTCTAGGAATAAGAATGACAATGCATAACCTCTTGCACAAGTTAAAATTTGAGTCCTTTCACTATGAAGAGATCTGGTAATAGTTGTGCACATCGTCTAGCTCAATTTGCTCTCAAATACAAATATATCCTTCTTTCGAATCTTTTTGAGGGTCCAGGTTGTATATGTAACCAAATTATCTATGAAGCAATTTAATTGAGTCCACCTTTGGTTCTCACTTTATTAAAAACCTAAGAAGAGCTTTAAACAAATCAAATATATTTGACCATATATTAATTGCATTCCCTGGACATTCAATGATGTATTCATGAACAATTGAACCACCAGACTTGAACAAATAAACTTCTTACCTGCCAATTCACATGAAAAATAAACAGAAAACATTTATATGAGCAAAATAAAGACTTGCACAATTTCTAAGCCCACCAGCTAGGACTGATCACTGGATACTTAACACATGAAAACATCCTGACAGCAAAAAGAAAACAAGTACCAACCATTATATAACATCATAAAAAAATCCAACCAAACAATGAACACAACCTGTGGTAATCTATGAACCTGCTATAGCCTCACTAGCACAAATGAATATTCAATAAAGCCAGACATAACACACATATACCCACCAAGGGAAAGGCACAGGTGAAACCAGGGAAAAAAAGATAAGGATCGTGTAGTATTGTCATTCACAACAAATATGCCCATTTCCAAACCAAGACTATGCGTAAAGTTTCAAGATGCATCACTTTTCGCAGTTTCGGAGCAAATATGCCCTTCATCACCACTGCCCTCTTCATCAGGTGTCCTCTCCTCGCTCTCATCAACAGGCATTGCTTGTGGAACCGTAACTGAACTCGAGCTCACCTGCTGTTCACAGGTCAAACTCGTAAGTCCATTCTGCTTCAAATAATTCTCCAATGGGAGACTAGCCACATGAAGTAGGCTCATCATGCTAACCCTAGATGAAGACTGAAGCCCCTCTGGTTGGCAATTCAAATCTATCTTCCCTTTTCCTGTATCAATATCACCCACTACAGTGGCTTTTCCAGCGTCTATGCCCAATTCATTCTCCTTTTGGATACTACTCCCTTCAATTTCTTCTTTGGCTCCCCATGGAAGCATCAACCTTTTGTTGGCTTCAGCTTCTTCACGCTCAGACTGTCGCTTTTTCTTGCGAAGCATTAGGGTTTTAAACCGTCGTTTTACAGTTAAACACACATTACATGTACAATTTGGGTGGTGTTTTGGGCCTTTGCCACTGGGGGGCTGGATGCAAACAATGCAAGTGCAGCCTGGACGGTGCCTTGGGTGCTTGGTTGTAGTTGCAGAAGCTGAGACTGTGGCTTGATTTGTTGTGTCACCGATAGATGCAGCAGTGGCTAAGGCGTCGAGGCCGGATGCTTCAAAGTCTGGAGTGTTCTGCTTGGAGATTGATGGAGTTCTCATCATTTTTATTTCTGCATAATTTTTGGAAGGTATTAACTCAAAAAGGATCCAAGATGGTTGAAGAACGATCAAGCACAACTAATGAGCTTGATCACAAACTAGACCGTTCTAATACTGAACTACATACACTTAAATAGAGCTTGAACTTGGGTAAGTTGGTATCTATATTATGTAATGACACGTGTATGCCTCAAATTTCAAAGAACAGGTAAGAATAGTTACACAGACCTTTCAGAACTGCATTAAACCATACATATCAATTGAAAAGAGAGGTAATGACTTCTATGTTCACGAGGAAAGAATGGCCACCCTACTTTTTTTTCAATTTCAGAAAATCAAGCATCTGTATCAGGTCAGAGAAGATAACCTATCCTTGAGTTATTGTCCTTTGCAGTTTGCATTAACAATTTTAAGCAAATTAGATTCATAAGGAAGTGGGAAAGTAAAGGGATTGAAAATATTTCCAGTTAGGCAAGTGAAAGAAGAAGTGAAGAAAAAAAAGGAAACTTTTTATCTATATTTTACTTCTAGGTAGCTAGAAACGTTTCCTTCCACTTGTTATCCTCTCCTTTCCTTTTCTTTACACCATCACATTCTTGTTTCCATTCAGGTGGTTCTCTACAATGGAGAATGCACTAAAAACCCTCAAGTCCCTACCATGTACAAAATACTCCAATAAAATTGGGGCTTCTTTACCATCACATTCTTGTTTCCATTCAGGTGGTTCTCTACAATGGAGAATGCAGTAAGAACCCTCAAGTCCCTACCATGTACAAAATACTCCAATAAGATTGGGGCTTCTTTACTGATGCACTTTAGTCTGTAAATGAGGCAAGCATCTGTTGCAATGTGAAAAAACCTTCCCCTTCTCGTCCCACATCATGAATTATAAAAGACAGGTTGCGCACCTGCATCCTGTCGAAGAAGATTATGTATTTCTGTTGGGCTCAATTCATCCGGCACAGAACAAGAAGATCTGCAAACAGACCATACACGTCAATTTAAGTCAAGAGCAGTTAATTAATATACTTCAGTATCATTATTTGGAAGAAGTACGCTTAGTGGGAAGAAAATGTCTCTGAAAAAAAAGAGATAAAGCTAAGCTTGTGAGGAAATACCAGGACTTAAGAATAAAAAACACAATAAACAAGAAGGATAAAAAATAATTTCATTGGCTGAAAATTATCCTACAAAAAAGATAGTTTTGAATTCATGAAACTATTGCTGCTAAGTGGAGTTTAGTTTTGCATTCATGACTCTGTTATTGCTAATCGGAGTTGTACATTAAAGGGGCGGAGTTGTACATTAAAGGGGGGAAATCTGCAGGACAGAAGCATGTATTTGGCAAGCGAAAGTAGAAATAAAGGTTTCCAGCTAACATTTCTATAGAACATGGACAGGAAAATTGTATATATCTGCAATTTGTAGAGTTTGATCTTTAAAAATTTTAATCATCAGTGCAATAGTATAAATTTTTACATGAAAGTTACTATTTTCTGTTAGTTTATTTGTATTCTTTTTTTCTGTTCTTCAACCTCTAGTGGCTCATATAACAACTACCTGCAAACAAAAACAAAAGAAACCACCTGCTGAATCCTTAATCAAACATGAATCAAGAACACTGACCTAACTCTCATAATCAATGCCACCTGCCACTAAGCCAGAACAACATAGTGGACCAAATCAATGAGGAAACAAAGTGGGTCTTAGAGTGTGATTTTAGGCCAAAATGCTATATGGTGTGATTCCTGAGAATGACTCTTTTACTATTTATCTTGAAATCCTTTTCCACTAACAGCTACACAAACTCCTCTTTCGACCAAATTCTGAAACCCCTGCAATTTGCATATTGTGTCATCAAACATTCTTTTCCACCGAGTCCCTTAGCACTTCAAACAAAATAATGTCTTACTGTTTGTGACCTTAACTGCACCTTTTTTTCTAACCAACATCCACAAAAGTTGTTTTCCTTAGAAGATTCAATAGTATCAGTGAGGCTCACTCCTTATTGTCAGCCATCTCGTTTCGCATTTCCACTAAAAACTACACAAACTCCTCTTTCAATAACACCAAATTCTGAAACCCCTGCAATTTGCGTGTTATGTCTTCAACATTCTTTTCCACCAAGTACCTCAGCAATTTGACCAAAATCCTTACCATTGATGACCTCCGCTGCGCTTGTTCTTTTCTAATCAACATCCAGAAAAATTGTTTCCCTTAAGAAGATTCCATAGTATCAGTGAGGCTCACTTCTAACTGTCAGCCTTCTTGTTTCGCATTCCATGTTTCAAGTGTTCACCTCTGTTTGCTCTTTAATTATTAGACATCCTAGAAGACATGTCGAAATGCTAATTTTGTAAGATTTATAGATAAGGACATACTTCCTATATGTAAACTTTACAAAAAGTGTTGGCCTGCTTAATCACCAACCCCTTGAGACAAAAAATCAGAAGAAATGCATTCTCTCACCAATACTTGCCCCTTTCTCTCTCTCTCCAATCAATCAAGAAGAGAGAATAGATTCATATACATGTATTCCTCCTGTTTCAACTTTGTAGCCCGCAAAAGCAGAAAGGGAAGAAAAGAAAACAGTTGATAATACAAACCCTAACCCTATTAGGAGATCTCTTGGGCTTATATAGGCCCTACACAACTTACACATAACCCCTTACAAATATTACTAATGTCAACACTCCTCCTCAAGATGGGCGAAAGATATCCACTAAGCCCATCTTGTCACATCCTCTAATCATGTCTAATGAGCTAAGTCCTTTAGTCAGACAATCTGCTGCCTGGTCCTTAGTTGAAACATGACTTAGCTCTAGTAGTCCACTATCCAACTTCTCTTTGATGAAGAACCTATCGATCTCGATGTGTTTGGTTCTATCATGCTGCACTGGGTTGTTGGCGATACTGATAGCTGACTTGTTGTCACACCATAACTTTATCTTAGCTCCTTGATCCAGCTTCAGCTCAACCAGCATACTCTTCAACCATAACAACTCAGCAACTCCTAAGGCCATAGCTCTATAATCTGCCTCAGCTGTCGATCTCGCCACCACAGACTGTTTCCACCACCGATTGCTTCTTGCTCTTCCACGAGACTAAGTTGCCTCCTACAAAGATGCAGTATCCCGAGGTGGACCTCCTGTCATTAGCACAGCTAGCCCAATCAGAGTCACAATAACCCTCGATGCTCACATGTCCATTTTTCCTGAATATCAGTCCCTTTCCAGGGGCACTCTTCAGATATCTCAGAATCTGGTACACAGCGTCCATATGACCCTTCCTTGGATCATGCATGTAGCGGCTCACCACGCTCACTGCAAAAGAGATATCGGGACGTGTGTGACTCAGATAGATCAACCTCCCTACCAGCCTTTGGTATCTGTCACGATCAACTGGTTCTCCAGCCTCAGCACCCAGCTTGAACTTCTGGTCGATCGGTGTAGTTGCAGGTTTACACCCTAACATCCCTGTCTCTTTAAGAAGATCCAGTGCATACTTTCTCTGGGATAAGACAATCCCCTCCGCTCCGCGAGCTATTTCTATTCCAAGAAAGTATCGAAGCAAGCCAAGATCTTTCACCTCGAACTCCTTACCCAGTCTCACTTTGAGTTTGGCAATCTCCTCCTCATCATCCCCTGTAATGATCATATCATCCACATATACCGCAAGCACAGTGATGTAACCTTCATTTCGTCGGAAGAACACGGTATGATCAGCGTTAATCTGCCGGTATCCCATACCTATCATAGCCCGCCTAAATCTGTCGAACCAAGCACGAGGAGATTGTTTCAGGCCATATAGAGACTTCTTCAATCTGCAGACCTTGCCCACTGTCTGTTCTGTGTTGAATCCTGGCGGAATTTCCATGTATACCTCTTCCACCAGATCTCCATGAAGAAATGCATTCTTCACATCTAATTGGTGTAGCTTCCATCCACCATTTACTGCCAGAGAGATCAAGGTTCGAACAGTGCTCATCTTCGCTACTGGTGCAAAAGTCTCATCATAGTCGATGCCGTATGTCTGACTATATCCTTTTGCCACCAGACGAGCTTTGTAGCGCTCAACCTGTCCATCTGGATTCTGCTTCACAGTGAAGACCCACTTGCATCCAACTGCTCTCTTCCCTTTTGGTAGTTTTACTAACTCCCAAGTGCGGTTCTTCTCAAGGGCCCTTAGCTCTTCGTGCATAGCAGCTTTCCATTTCTGGTCCTTCTTTGCAACCTGCCAATTGTTAGGAATAGTAACAGAGTCCAGAGATGCAATGAATGCTCCATGTGCAGGGTGGATGTTAGAATATGATACAAACTGAGCAAGATCCCAACCATATCTATCGGGAGGATTTCCCGCATTACTGCGAGTAGTCCTCCGTACAGTTATTGGTGTGGGAGGAATAGGAAGAGAAATGGAGTCACCTTGAGAGGAATCTTGTGGTGGTGTAGGTGTCTCAGGAGTCGGGGCAGGCGTTGGCAAGGGACTTGGCACCAGTGGCACTGTAGGTACTGTTGGTACTGTTCCCGCAATTTGTTTCCCCTTCCTACTATAGGTAAGTAGTTCTCCCTGAGCCGTTGGCCTAACACCTCTTGTCTCAATCTCCTCGTCGTCTTCATTCACTTGCTCCTCCTCAACCAAGTCTCCTTCCCAAGGAATCGTTACAGAAATTGATTTTTCCGATCTCTCACCATTCTCAGACATTGATTTCTCCACATTCTCCTCCTCTCGCCGCATACTTCCAGTATTAGGCGAGTTATCAACGGATGAAGTTACCTTCCGGGTGTAATATGGCTCGAGTTCTCGAAAGTGCACATCCATACTCACAAACAACCTTTTCTCCACCGGGCTCCAGCAAACATAGCCCTTCTGAGTAGCAGAATATCCCACAAAAATACATTTCACCGCTCTAGGGGCAAGCTTCCCGACTGATGGCCTGTTGTCTTTCACAAAGCACACACAGCCAAACACCTTGAGTGGAAGAAGCCCACCATTATCTCCCTTCAACAACTCACACGGAGACTTCCAATCCAGCACTCTCGAGGGCATTCTGTTGATTAGTGCTGCCGCGGTCAACACTGCTTGTCCCCATAATGTTTCTGGGACATTCATAGAGATCATCATACTTCTAGCAACCTCTAAAAGATGTCTATTCTTTCTTTCAGCTACTCCATTTTGAGCAGGTGTGTATGGACACGTAGTCTGGTGTTGTATTCCCTGAGCTGACAAGTATTCCCCAAACGTTTTGTTAGTATACTCTGTCCCATTATCAGATCTTAATACCTTCACCACAGCGCCGTATTGAGTCTGAGCATACCTATGAAAATTTTGAAAGCAACTAAACACTTCACTCTTATTTTTCATCAGGTACAACCAAGTAACGCGGGAGAAACAATCAATAAAAGTAACAAAATACTTGTATCCATTCATAGAACTTGTAGAACAAGGTCCCCAAACATCTGAATGTATCAGTTCGAATACACGAGAACTCCTATGACCAGAACTTACGTAAGAACTTCTAGTAAGTTTTCCAAGCTCACATGCATCACATACAAGGTGCTGCTTATTTGCTTTCTCAAATAGAGATGGATACAACCTACTTAAAACATTAAAAGATGAGTGTCCCAAACGCTGGTGATGAAGCATCAACACACTCTCAGCACTCATCTCAGATCCTACTTCTGCTCTCTCTATCATTGACACCAATGCTGAATCCAGTCCTTCACGATCCAGATACCACAGTCCACTACGCCATGTGCCAGTCCCAAGTCTCCGCCCTGTCCCCTTCTCCTGGAAGATCACCTTGGGAATATCAAAGGAAACAATGCATTTTAGTTGAAGGATGATAGCACTAATGGATAAAAGGTTGACTGGAAAGGAAGGAGCATGCAAAACATTGGACAAAGTTACTGAACCAGTACAATCAACTATACCCTTACCAACCACAGGCTGAAATGTACCATCAGCTGTTTGAATACTATCAGGCGATGCTAGGTGAGTATATGATGAGAACTCACTAGCATTACCTGTCACATGTCGAGACGCACCGGAGTCGACTATCCATTCTGATGATTTGTCGGAAGATATGGAAGCAAGAGCATGTATGTCATCAGTACCTTTGGTCGGATGAGCATAGGTAGCAGTGTTGCCTCTGACGAAGAATGATGTGGATGCCTCCTCTGTCCCACTCCTCCTGTCTCCATCCCCTGCTACTTGCTGCTTTCTCCTGAGTATCGCCAGGAGCGCCTGATCCTCCTCAGTAAAGATCACCTCAGCTTCTTCTCCTCCTTCTGCTATCATCAGATTCGCCCGGTTGCCTGCTCCCCTTCCACCTCGTCGACCCCCACGGCCACGACCACGCCCTCCGAACTGTCCACGTCCACCCGAATCTCCTAAGCAAATTAGATTCATAAGGAAGCGGGAAAGTAAAGGGATTGAAAATATTTCCAGTTAGGCAAGTGAAAGAAGAAGTGAAGAAAAAAAAGGAAACTTTTTATCTATATTTTACTTCTAGGTAGCTAGAAACGTTTCCTTCCACTTGTTATCCTCTCCTTTCCTTTTCTTTACACCATCACATTCTTGTTTCCATTCAGGTGGTTCTCTACAATGGAGAATGCACTAAAAACCCTCAAGTCCCTACCATGTACAAAATACTTCAATAAAATTGGGGCTTCTTTACCATCACATTCTTGTTTCCATTCAGGTGGTTCTCTACAATGGAGAATGCACTAAAAACCCTCAAGTCCCTACCATGTACAAAATACTTCAATAAAATTGGGGCTTCTTTACCATCACATTCTTGTTTCCATTCAGGTGGTTCTCTACAATGGAGAATGCAGTAAGAACCCTCAAGTCCCTACCATGTACAAAATACTCCAATAAGATTGGGGCTTCTTTACTGATGCACTTTAGTCTGTAAATGAGGCAAGCATCTGTTGCCATGTGAAAAAACCTTCCCCTTCTCGTCCCACATCATGAATTATAAAAGACAGGTTGCGCACCTGCATCCTGTCGAAGAAGATTATGTATTTCTGTTGGGCTCAATTCATCCGGCACAGAACAAGAAGATCTGCAAACAGACCATACACGTCAATTAAGTCAAGAGCAGTTAATTAATATACTTCAGTATCATTATTCGGAAGAAGTACGCTTAGTGGGAAGAAAATGTCTGAAAAAAAAAAGATAAAGCTAAGCTTGTGAGGACATACCAGGAATTAAGAATAAAAAACACAATAAACAAGAAGGATAAAAAAATAATTTCATTGGCTGAAAATTATCCTACAAAAAAAATAGTTTTGAATTCATAAAAGTTTTGAATTCATGAAACTGTTGCTGCTATGTGGAGTTTAGTTTTGCATTCATGACTCTGTTACTGCTAGTCGGAGTTGTACATTAAAGGGGGGAAATCTGCAGGACAGAAGCATGTATTTGGCAAGCGAAAGTAGAAATCAAGGTTTCCAGCTAACAGTTCTATAGAACATGGACAGGAAAATTGTATATATCTGCAATTTGTAGAGTTTGATCTTTAAAAATTTTAATCATCAGTGCAATAGTATAAATTTTTACATGAAAGTTAATATTTTCTGTTAGTTTATTTGTATTCTCTTTTCTGTTCTTCAACCTCTAGTGGCTCATATAACAACTACCTGCAAACAAAAACAAAAGAAACCACCTGCTGAATCCTTAATCAAACATGAATCAAGAACACTGACCTGACTCTCATAATCAATGCCACCTGCCACTAAGCCAGAACAACATAGTGGACCAAATCAATGAGGAAACAAACTGGGTCTTAAGTGTGATTTTAGGCCAAAATGCTATATGGTGTGATTCCTGAGAATGACTCTTTTACTATTTATCTTGAAATCCTTTTCCACTAACAGCTACACAAACTCCTCTTTCGACCAAATTCTGAAACCCCTGCAATTTGCATATTGTGTCATCAAACATTCTTTTCCACCGAGTCCCTTAGCACTTCAAACAAAATAATGTCTTACTGTTTGTGACCTTAACTGCACTTTTTTTCCCTAACCAATATCCACAAAAGTTGTTTTCCTTAGAAGATTCAATAGTATCAGTGAGGCTCACTCCTTATTGTCAGCCATCTCGTTTCGCATTTCCACTAAAAACTACACAAACTCCTCTTTCAATAACACCAAATTCTGAAACCCCTGCAATTTGCGTGTTATGTCTTCAACATTCTTTTCCACCAAGTACCTCAGCAATTTGACCAAAATCCTTACCATTGATGACCTCCGCTGCGCTTGTTCTTTTCTAATCAACATCCAGAAAAATTGTTTCCCTTAAGAAGATTCCATAGTATCAGTGAGGCTCACTTCTAACTGTCAGCCTTCTTGTTTCGCATTCCATGTTTGAAGTGTTCACCTCTGTTTGCTCTTTAATTATTAGACATCCTAGAAGACATGTCGAAATGCTAATTTTGTAAGATTTATAGATAAGGACATACTTCCTATATGTAAACTTTACAAAAAGTGTTGGCCTGCTTAATCACCGGGGGGGCTAGGGTTTAGAGGATGGCTCTGATACCAAGTTGATAATACAAACCCTAACCCTATTAGGAGATCTCTTGGGCTTATATAGGCCCTACACAACTTACACATAACCCCTTACAAATATTACTAATGTCAACAAAAACATTGACGTTCAATTACCATGGTGAGACTCAAAAAGATAGTTTGAAGAACAACTACTACAAGTCTCTTTATGCGGGAAACAGCTTTTAAATAGTTAGTGCAAAACACAATACACGTAGAATCATAATCAAGAAAATCAAATTGCACATATTCGCACCTAAACAAGAAATCATGATTGATATCACATGAAAGGTTAAGCAAGTCTTGCAGAAACAAAAAGCTAACCTTCTCGGGTCACATGTGTTGTCAGCACACGTCCAGTTTGAAGGAACAAGAACATCCACAGGCAAACGACGCCATTTGAAGCAATCATCACATTGAATCCATTGATCTTGTTCCCTGATAATATACTCTCAGTTATTCAACATTAAATCAAAATAAAACTGAGAATATTAGTTATCGAGAATGTTAGATTTCTGCAAAACCAAATTTGTGTATGTAATTAGAAATTTATAGTCTAAATTCAAATGAACATTTAGCTTTGAACTCCAAACTTCAAATCAAGCACTTGCATTGTTTTTATTGAATTTTGACTAAATCCTTAATACTAACTTGCTCAAGGAAAAAAAAGGAGAAGGAAAAAAGAAGGGAAATCAACCATTTATATTTGCAGTAATTCAGTAACATTTTTCTATTTCTGGGAATGATGTGATATGAATCAAGTCATTGCACTATGAATTTCAGTTTGACATCAGCTTAACCCCTTCAAGTCAAGCACATATAAGTTTTCTACCAAGTATACAAATCACATGTAAGATTGTGACATTTTCAATAAAGTGTACCTAGGAAAACTTTCCCTTTTTTGTGCTTTTATGTCACAAGCTGCGCATAATTTATATATATGAATGCCAATTTCCAGAGTAAAATATATGACTAGAAATATATGAAGAAATAGTACTATGATTTAAGATAAATACACACATTATTATTCATGCTCATATATACTCACTCATATGTATCCTTAATGTGAAATTTTACACAATAAATAATTAAATTATGAAAGACCATTGTCCTTACCCAGATAATTGGGCTGTGAAAATTGTTCTCTTGCCAAAAACTGGGGGTTCCTGCAGATACATAGTAATGTTTCAAATGGAAGAATTAGCTGCATGAAGTACGGCATAAGAAATGCAGTAAAAATAACCAGATGTCTATAAATGTTCACCTCGTATTCTTCAAACTCCTGATCCTCGATCATTACAACACTAGGTTTGGCACTTGGAGGTGGGCGCAGCAAGTCTTGTGCCTCCTCCCATGAAAGCTTCAGTTCTAAAGCGTCATCGTTATCCATATGTAGCCTCTTGCTTTTGCCACCAATATTACGGCTTCTTTTCTTCTCTTGAGCCAGTGAAGGCTGCAACAGGAATCCGTCATTTGACCTGCCTCCATGAGTGTCTGTCTTTTGCCAACTAACATCACTGTCAGCTAAATTCAAATGTTCAGAAAAATAGCTCAAGCGCGGAGCCGCAGTTCCCTTCAGTGACTGAAGAAGTCCAGAGTAACCACTTACTATAGATAGGTTCTCAGTAACACCCGAAAAGAAAGTTTCATTGCCAAGACCAGCATTAGCAATTGCAGATATCTGAGAATCCTGCCGGACGTTTATAACATTAATAAAATCACAACTAAAGCAGTATTTTAGGTTGACCGCGCTGATGCCTACTAAAATATGCATAGTATAGATTAATCTCTATTGATACAAGGAATAATCCAAATTACAGGAAATGGTTCTGACAACAACAGAAATTTACAGAGTGGGTGCATGATACAAGGAATAATCCAAATTACAGGAAATGGTTCTGACAACAACAGAAATTTACAGAGTGGGTGCATGTTGTTGACCAAGTAGAAAAAGATTTCAGGGAGGTTCTTTACCTGCAAAGGCACAGAGTTAGTCGCCTTTCGAAATCCCATAATGAAAAAGATTTCAGGGAGGTTCTTTACCTGCAAAGGCACAGAGTTAGTCGCCTTTCGAAATCCCATAATGAGTTTTCCTTCAGGATCCATCCGACTGAAAGTTACTGTAAGACAGAGGCCCCCAAAAGGAGAATAAATCACTCATTTTTAATTTTCTCTGTCAATGCTAAACATACCAAAATAAGCACACGCAAGGATGAAAATTACTGTACAATAAGGTTAAAGAAAATAGGCATTTCAAAACTCGTGTCCTGCAAGAAGCATGAAAACATTAAACAAAGTGTGAGGAAACATAATGCACGCCTAAATAACTGATACCAGCTATAGACAACTTTGGAAAATGATTAGTACTTCCAGTGTTCAATCACTTCATCCATTAACTATAATACAAAATCCTCAATCCTTATGTATACACATTCTAGTGCCAATTGTTTTCATCCAAAAGACCGTTTCGATCTCCAAACGATGTCAAAAGATGTTGATACATCCATTCAGACCCATGTATGTTCAAAGAGTTGACTAATAAAACATGAATCAAGCATGATTTACATATGATAATTGCAAATAGATCTTTTTTGTACTTCTCTACAGACAAAGGTTTATGAGGTTGAGATAGAACCTGGTTTCAAAGCAGAGACTGTAAAATACAAAACATGTGATTTATTTACCATGGAAGTACATTCTATAGTGCAATAGTACATCAGAATTTGTAGGAAGGTTACATGATCTTCTACTTATAATTCCCGACCCTACTAATCCCAAACAAATTTTCCAAAAAATTCTCTAAATAAATAAAAACAGAATACACACACTAATTGTTAGTATGAGTCTTACATGTTGGAAAAGCATGGGTGAGGCTTATGTGGGCAATAGGCATGTATTCACATTAAAGCTGCTATTATGAATGCACACATAGTTTTCCAAAGCGCTATATAGAAGAATACATGTGATGGTACTACACATTCCATTTCTCTGCATGCCAAGTCATTTCTCTTTAAAAAATTGTAGAGTGTGCAATGCCCAACCATACATGAGAAGCCATCCAGCAGGTGAATACATGTGATGCTACTTGTTTTACCTATAGAAAAGTTTTAACTCATATAAGTAAGACATTTTGGACTGTATAAGCATTGATGACCAATTGAATAGAAGGTAAAGATCTTTGACTCGATAATATGTTTGGATATTCTGATAGACAGGTCAGACCATAGGGAAGCTAGAAATTAGTTCACTGAATTCTGAGAAAAAACAGAAGGAATGTGCATCATCAGGTTACAGATTAAAGACTATAACTGGTCATGGCTGCCGTGATAAGGAATAACCAGGTACAGTTTTCCACTCTTAGTGATGGGGATTCTCATTACCTGTATCACCAGCTTGCAATTGCAGGGACTGTATACATGGAGTAACACCCTCCAGAACATACATTCTGCTGTTATTATTTGGCCAAAATCTAAACTGGAAATGCCACTCTTTTCCCTTAGCATCTTGAATCTTTAATGGAAGACCTTCTGGTTGAGAAATTGGAGGGAAATAGGCCTGCAAAAGAAACTTAAATAAAACGCACTAACGAAGGAAAGGAAACGAGAAACAGAAATGTGTTGTTTCCCACATCTGAGCTTCACAAACAAATCAGCCATCTTGCACTCATGGTGTAAAGGCGAGAAAATGTTGTTTCCCACATCTGAGCTTCACAAACAAATCAGCCATCTTGCACTCATGGTGTAAAGGCGAGAAAAAGAGTAATATAACAATAGCCAAGAACAAACAAATCAGCCATCTTGCACTCATGGTGTAAAGGCGAGAAAAAGAGTAATATAACAATAGCCAAGACAAACACACTGCTAAAACAACAAAACTCAATGCCACATTTTGCAACTGCACAGTCTGATGGGCAACGAACAGTGCATTGCATAGTGCATACAAGTGTTTAAGCAGAAAACAAGTCGATCATGATAGAAAATCTAATTCCATGCATTCATCAATTTGCTTTGAGCAAGAACAATGTATCCTTTTTAACAACATGCAGCATGCTGTACAAGCAAAGGCTGAAGGGTAAGCACAAGGAACCACATAATAAAGGATGAGAATTACCTCTGCACATGCCTTAGGAAGAACTAAACGACCAATCCTCCCAGCATCACTTGCACTCAAAACTTTCTCAAATAGTGGAACGATGGTTGAATTAGAACTTCAAGATTGGAATTTGAAATTAAGGAAATCAATGTATGGCATATATTGAAATGCAATGGTATGAAATAACAGAAAATCAATTGAAAATCACACCATTCCAGGTCCAGTTACAATATGAATTTAGATTGGATACTCTCCAGATATTTGCTGTAGTTCTTGATCTGTGATCCTAGGCCAGTAACGTGGAAGTAACTGATTCCGTCCCCTACCTTCAGCAGGGGGTCTTGCGACACGCATATTTGAAAGCATCTCCTTTGATGCCTCTGAAGAAAATGTTTGGCCTGTTTTGGATGGCTTGGGAAGAAGATGGCGGGCCCTTTGCGCTTGCTGCAAAGCAGATAGTGATCTACTTTGATCCCTTCCATCTTCAACTCCACTAGATGGGCGAATTCCAGTACTAAGAGCAGGTTCCATAGTGGTTCTTTGGTTTGAATTCCCCAAGCTGATATTCAAACAAGCCTGCGTGAGTGATTCACATAGCATGTTATCCTTCATAACATCTTTACCATAATCTCGTTGGGAAACTTGAGATGATGCAATATGAGCTTGATTTGAAATATGTGCATTTCCCACCTTCCCTGCATGAAATGCCATTTGCTCTCTTTTAATATGCCCAAAAGATCCACTTAAGCTTTCTCTTCGGCCCAGAAGCATATTGTTTTGTCCGTTAACCTCCATGTTTTTGCCTAACTGAATGGCCTTGCCCTTGCTAATTACATCCTCGTCCACTCGTACGTTGGAGTCTTCATTTGCCTTCTCGTCTTTTAGACTTCTACCTGCTAGAGAGAGAACTCTTTGACTGGATTGAGGCAAAAATTCTTGAATGGTTTCACTTGGAATCTGCATAAAAGTCTTAAACGGATGAGACCTTTCTTCCTTCTACCTCTCAATGTGTGCATGCGCACATAAGTGGACTATAATCCATTTGTTAAATGTATTTACAAACACATGAAAACTGGCTTACAAAAGAAAGTCCAGAAAGTCCAGAATTCTTCATGCAGCTAATACACTGGACTCCTCCGCCATCTAGTAGTTCGAATAAAGATTTGGAAGCAATACATCCACAATGAAGCCGCTGCATTATTCCAATAAGTACTAATTTACATGGAAAAAGTGGTAGGAAGAAAGGAAACTAAAAAAGAAGTGTTACAAAGCCACCGTCTTACCTTGCCACACAAAAGGCACTCCCTCCAGCCAGACTCTTTCTGGTGAAACAAGTCGCAGAAAACTGATTGCTCATATGCCATTCTGAATCAAACAGAGCAACATTTAAGCAACAGATGGAGTAAGATAAAATCAATAGAAATTATATTGCAAGAGACTAAGCTCATAAAATATTTTTAAGGAAGAACTTATGTAATGGTCAAGCAAAAAAATATCATTTTATTAGGTGTCCATTTGTTTCCCTTCTGCTATTTAAGAGCATGGAGGCAGTAGCCTACTAAAGTCAGCATCCAGCGAGACATCCACAATACGCTAATATACCAGTTCCAAGCCAAAAGTTTAACCCATTAAGTCCACGACCCGATCATACATATAATTTATCAAGAAGTTACCATGTCACTATCTGTGGGCTATCTCACCAACTTCCCCCCTTGTGCTTTTCCGCATTGTAGAGTTTGTCTCTAAAACAATTCCTAAAAGGAAAGAAATTTAGTAGTTTGTTTATAGAACAACCCTGATGACTCGACTCCGTGGAGTGAAATCACTGGCATGAGAGATGAGGATGTCTCAATTGAAGTTTGTACTCCAATAACTTTTTAGAATTTGCCATCTCGAAGGATATTATTTTGAACTCATTTGGTCCAAATCCGAAATTTGAAAAGTGGAACTTAAAAGCCTCAATTTTTAAGGTTTCCATCAGCTCAATTTCCTAGAAAGTATTAAATGAAAGGGGGCTATGAAAGAGTTTGGGGAGGGGCAAGTCGGGTTTGTCTGGAGGTTCTAGAGGTGATGTTGATTGGCATTACGTTGATTGGTGTAGAGTCATATTTATTGGCAACATGAAGACAGCCTGCAGGAGGGGGAAGTGATTGCCAGTTTGAGGGTGAAAAGAGAGTGAGAACCAGAAAGAAGTGAAGGGGATTCTGGATCAAGGTTTGTTTTGTTACCAATTGATATAGAGCAGAAAAGGGAAAAAGATGGAAGGAGGAAAAAGGGAAGAAATTAGGGTTTGAGCAGGAATATTAATTCAATAACAATTAGGCATCAAAATCTATATTCATTCATCAACTTGAGTACATTATTATTATACATTCTGCCCCTAATTGTTATGGTGGGAAAGTGACTTCTATCCAGAGAGGAATAGTCATGTAATATTTATACTAGAAGAAGTAGGATATAGTTACATATTTCTTAATATGGGACAAAAACATTTTTTCTAAATTTCTTAATAAAGTAACCACTTTGATACTCTCCTCAAGATGGAGCATGTATATCAAATATTTTTTCTAAATTTCTTAATAAAGTAACCACTTTGATACTCTCCTCAAGATGGAGCATGTATATCAAATCATGTCCAATAATTACATAAAAGCGTAACCACTTTGATACTCTCCTCAAGATGGAGCATGTATATCAAATCATGTCCAATAATTACATAAAAGCAAAAAATTCTAGATAATATCAAGCGAACCATTTGACCTAACAAAAGAAGTGACCATCTTCTTGATCTGCACCAAGTAGTTACCTCCCTCTAGTCCTCGACAACAGTAGCAACAACTAGTAGTGATCTAAAAGTCTAGCATATCTTGTTATTAGAGAGAGAGACAAACATGCAAAATTGCTGTCATAGAGGTAGATATTAGGATCTCTGACATGGAAACAGAGAGTAGGTCGCAATATGGAGACAGCCAATAAAACCTTCAACATGAAGATAGATAGCAGGATGTCAAACATGAAGATAGTAAAGTCTCATTGGAGACATACAGTAGAATATACGACATGGAGACAGACAATGGAATCTCCAACATGGAGACAACAGACAAATTGAAGAGTCTTTTGTGTTTCAATATTATTATTATAAACCTGATGATCTAGTTGCATGGAAATGAGTATGGGTGCGGGTATGGAACATGTCAATTTTGTAATATGCAAGGTACAGGGACACGGCTACACACACGTACACACATATATATATAGAAATTAATGATTTATGTAAGATCACTATTGTTTGTCAATTCATGTGTTACTATAATTAAAATTCATATCCTACTTTTAAGTCTTTTTTAATATGTTGATTATTATAAATTGGAAACAACTTGGTTTTGAACTATACACCCAATCGACCCTTTAAAATCATAGTTTTAAACTTGGATATGAGCTGAAACAAACCCGACACATGTCTAATGAGTTTCAAGAAACATATATGAAGTGTAGGATGTACGTCCAAGAAGTGTTGACAAGTGTATGCATATACCCAAGGAGTGTCCATGAAGTTTGGAGACAGGGATGTGTCGGGTAGAGGTACGGCTCATGATAGAAGTGCCCGGGTAACATAGATGATTATGTATTGGAAGTTTGGTACTATTATAACGAACGAAAGGTACAGATATACATGAGTGCTTTTATCCTAATTTATATTTTATGTTTTTTATATATATGAAATTAGATTCAATTTCCATATTTTCCCCTATTTTATATTTAGCACTACACAAAAAAGGATTATACTTCTTAGTGTTTATAAGAATATCCTGTAGGTGTTGCCTTGAAAACTAATTATTTTTATGGAAATTTCTTTTTCACCTCAGTACATTTTCAAACATGTGATCTCCTGCAAGTCGAGGAATCAATGGTGAAAAGAGGGTGGAGGGAGTGATATGTTGAAAAATGCCACATGGAGTTTGTCTTCTTTATTTCTCATAGATTATTATCATGTTCATGAACTTGGGGGATGTTGATGTGGAATAAGACTGACTTTCTGAATCTAACGTTGAGTTTATATTTTAAAATTTTTCACTCTATATATTAGGAGCAATTAAATCTTAAAATAGTGTTATTGAGATAATGTAAACTTTTTTCTCAAATAACTAGTTTTTTTTTACAGAGATATCATGATTTATCGAAAGAATTTTAATCTTTAATTAGATAATTAATTTCGCTTAACGTTTCTCTTATGCTATAATGATAATCGGTCATTAGTAACGGAAATTATCTATTCAGAGTACCATAAGTTATTACTTTTCATATTTTCAATTGATTTTTTTTATCTTTTTAATATGAGGTATCAAAGAAATAACAACATTTGTACAATAAGATGATTGTAATTTGAGTTTGTTTTTATAACAATGATAGAAATCCCCAAAAATATCACAAATAGACCCACGTACTCCGTAAAAAATATTGCGGAAAATTAGCCTAAAAATCAGACAAAAATTGATCTATATAAAGAAAACTCGATATGTTTAGCGAGATAAGGATCTCAGATTCACAAAAAGACGCAAATTTTCATACCCGCACTTATCGCAGAGCGTAGCGAATCCGCCCGATCTCAGCGCCCAGCCCCTCCTCCAATCCTCGGCGGACAACGTGGCACCGCATCCACCGTTCATGCACCGCTTCGAAGTCATCGAGATCGTCTAAATTCCATCAAAAGGAATCAATAAAAAAAATGGATAAGCCCTAAAAATAGAGAAACAGCTAACATCTTGCGCACAACTAACCTTCGAAGATTTCTAATGCGATCGGCGATCGAAGAGAGAAGGAATCGACATGAAAAATTTTGAATAGAAAGAGGAAGAGAAAGAGGAGAGAGAAAATAGAAAGGGGGAGGTCAAATGCATGCACGATGCTTGAAGGCACAGCTTTCTTGCTATAGAAAAATAAAATAAAAAGGAAAGTAGAATTCCTCTTTGTTTTAAATAAGAAATGGTGATAAAATAGAGCTTACCGTTTGATGGTGAAGATGGCGGTGAGGTTACCGCTTTTTCTCATCCGGTGAACTCGAGCGACTTGGGTCCGGTAGTCAAAGACAGAGTACGGTTGCCTTCAGAGAAGACAGTAATTTCTAAAGCCACGTTCTGAAGGTCGATTGTCAGTCAGAGACTGGGGTCGGTCCCAGATGAAAGTATAAGGTTATTTGCATATATAGCCCTTACGGGGAGGATATTTGTAAAACTATCCTAAATCTTAGCATTTGCAAAAGTAACACTAAATCGTCAATTTTTGGGAGAACCCCCAAATCAATTAATCATCAACTTTTTTTTATACGGGAATCAAAACCATGACCATGGAAGCCATATTGGAACCTTCCATCCATCCAAGGTGATCCATGGTTCCTCAACTAATCATCAACTTGATAAGCAAATATCTAATTATTTTGTCTGTTGATGTATGGAATCACACAATCAAATGAAAGTGGATTAAGGTTACAGAGGTCCTCTCACTCTCTAAATGTCTAGTCCTTGGGCAAGTTGTACTTCCCTGTACAAGTAACAGATTGTTAGAGGGCGGGGTGTGATTACCCGGTTGTTCATCCGACGATCAAGTTAGTGGGTGGCTTACGAGGAGAAGTAATATGAACGGTAGTAGTTCTTAAGTTCAGAGAATAGTGGGAAAAAACTTACCCTGTAATGAAAAATAGTTTTTTCCTTTTATAGTAATGGAATGATTTTAAGATGGTATATTTAGCCGGGCATAGACTTGCGACCAAGGCAGCTTCAACTTTACTAGTGTCAGTCGAGGAGTGGAGGAGAGGTCATTTCAGTTTAATGAGAAGTGATTGGTCATTAGTGCACAGGAGGGGCTCGAGGCCTGAGACGTTTCGTCGTCTTTCTACTCGTCTGGTGATCGAGAAGTACCATCTTTAGAGTCGCCCTTACAAGATGTTGGCCGATGAGTTAGCCGAGTGGAGTGGTTAAGTAGTCGACTCAGCCGGGAGGTGACACGCAACACCTTTCGGGTCGTCGACATGTGACACCTTTCAAGTCGTCCTCTTAAGATATCAGTGTGTAAAATCGATCGAGCTGAGCCTCTATTTGTCTTGAGGAGCTGACTTAATTATGCATAATATGAGAGTATGAGACACATATCTGCCGTCCATGGGTGATTATTTTCCATCATTAAAATGGCTATAACATTGTCAATAATATTTACAATACAATTGTAAATATTAGCCTATTGAAGTTAACTGTTGATTGTTTTGGAGACATTGATAGTTTTGTAAATACTAAGATTTGAAAAATAATTTTGCAATACCCATGACTTTAGGGTATGCAACATGCAAAGGTATAAATGTTTGTGCTTTTAATGCTTTGATTATTCACCTGGATTCTTTTAATTGCTCATTCATCCTTCTAATATTACAATTTGATAATTACGCAAAACTCATGATTCATTCACGCTTGACACAACTATATTGCTTTAAGAAGAAGTTTTGATGTGAATCAAAACATAACACTTTTGTAATAAATAATGAGAAGAAAGGGATGAAAATAAGAAGAGAAGTATAATAGGTATAAAGAGGGGCAACAAGTATATCTTAAGATATATTTATATGTCATTTTATAGTAAAAATTTAAAAAAATTTATTATTACTGTTTTTATATAATTTTTTGAATAAATAGGAGAATGTTGGAGCATATATTTCTTATATTTTATTTATTTAAACCAAAAATACTAATAGTACATGTTAAGTTGAAAAAAAAAATTCACGTTCATTGCGAATAGATCTCCTATAATTCTATTAGTATGGATAGACCTCTTATACAACTTGTTCAAGTGTGGAGTGATCCCTTTAGGCAATAATTTTGACTCATTATAAAACTTTAAAAAATGAAGATTAGAGGGTCCATCCACAAAATTAAATTTATATGAAGCCTACATGCAATTTGGCAATGCTACAGTGATCTATTTGCACTTAGATCTTTTTTTCCAAATTCATAATACCATGTAAACTCGAAGCTTAATTCAGATAAATTTATAGATTAGTAACTTGGACCAAATTTAAAAAAAGCAACCAATCTCATGCGAAATCGAAATGTAGTAAAATATTTGATAAGGTTCAATACGCAAAAAGACCTGGTCAAGTGACAAACAACTCCAAGGTGACCCGTGACCGCAACGGGTGACCTCACAGCAAGAGGTAACCGCACCGCACCAACTGACACTGTCACTCGTAGGTGATCGTGACACCGTATGCAGCCCGTTCAATCACAGCCGTCCATGTTTAAAAAATAAGCCTGCAACTTAATGGGTCCCACATGGGATCATCGCTGCCATCGAACGGTTTTCCGTCGTGCTAGCGGATCACCTGCGATCGTGACGGTGCACCAATTCTAATCTGGCCAGCGTATGCCGTCCGTTGGTCGTGGACATTGTGATTCGTCCAGGTAGGGGGATAGAGACGTCGTGCGTGATGGTTGATATTAGAATTTTTGTTTTAAACACATTCCCACGTTTTATTTAAAAAACCGACCGATTCCCTTTTTATTTACATGGATCAACCCACTTCTCGTTCATGTTAGCATCGCGGTAACCCCGATTAATTTAGCTTGTATATTAGCAAAATAGTCGGGGTTGACAACCCCGACTATTTAGCAACGAGTTAAAAAAATTGCGCCCCAATTCGTGGCCACGAAGTGGGGCGATTTTTTTTAACTCGTTGCTAAATAGTCGGGGTTGCCAACTCCGACTATTTTACTAATATACAAACTAAAGTAGTCAGTGTTGCCAACCCCGACTAGTTTAGCCTATATATTAGTCGATGCGTGCAAAATAGTCGGGGTTGACAACCCCTACTATTTAGCAACGAAAATAAAAAAATCGCCCCATTTCGCAGCCACAATGCTGATGTGATCGAGAAGTGAGTCGATCCCTGTAAATAAAAGGGAGTCGGTCGGTTTTTAAAATAAAAAGTAGGAAAGGGTTTAAATAAAAAATTTCTTCTTGATATTATTTTTGTGTTGACCAAATTCATTTGGAATATGTTTTTGGTGTTTTTTATTAGACGCCCACGAGAGAGGAATGAGAAGAATGGGTAGTTACGGGGAGGCTGTGTTAGTTAAAGATAGTTGTGGGTCCCGCCATCTTGGACCTCTAAATTTATAGATCAAGTTGTTTTGCAATGTTCATTTTCTACCCACCATCATAAAGTAACTTAATGCGATCAATTTCATGTGACCAACAAATCCCATAATGAATTCCAGATATAAGCTTGGCACGAAGTGGAAATAAAAACTAATCCTTCAGCAGAATTACAACTTCTAATAAACTCCTGGTGCGCGTGCAAATTATTCTGATTCATACAAAGTAAGACAACATGGGGTTGTTTGGAGGTTTTCATGCCCCATTGTATGCACCAAAAGCATGCTCTCATGTGCGGTGATCCTTATAAAAACATGTAAGGGAATGATTTGGAGGTTTCTTTGTCCCGTAGCATGTGTCAAAAAAACCTACTGGTATGTCATATCTACTTCTTTATTACTAAAGGAGAACAACAAAAATGCTAAAATGAACACTAACCTAAGGTTGTGAACAATGAAATCCTAATAAGCATTTTCACCAGCCATGTTCTCAAAATTTTCGTACTCTCCCTCAAACTTCCCTTCCCACGTTCTCCACGATTCCCACGATTCTCTCTCTTCCTCTCTCAATATTTCCTTCATATCCCCCCTTCCTTCCCTTTCTGACCTCTCCACGAACACAACGAGATCTCCGAAAGCCCACCAACATCAAGGCCTAGAAAGACAACGACCCCCTTCGGTTCTGATCCGGATCCAGATCCGCAAACTCGACAACCCAAACCCACTTCCCCCACTTCCCCTCCACTTCCGGCTCGCCTGAAAACCCTAAACCCCAAGTCAACAAAACTCGCACCGACGTCCTGCTCCAGTGGGGCCACAACAAAGGGTCGAGGGGCTCGAGAGCGGCTGAGAGCCATCGGAAGGCTGTCAATGAGTCTTCGGTCCATCCGAGGCCGCATGTTAAGATCCAACGGCGGGTGGCGCT